TCTTTTTCCACTGTGAATTCACTTTTTTTGTGTGTGGGTGTGTGTGTGTGTGGTGCTGGGGATTGAACCTGGGGCCTTGTGCATGGGAGGCAAGCACTCTACCAACTGAGCTATATCCCCAGCTGTGAATTCACTTTCATAGTCATTATTTCCATCAAATCAATTTTCACCGAGATTTTATTATCCTATGTTTTTTTAAATATATTTATATTTTTAGTTGTAGTTGGACACAGTACCTTTATTTATTAATTTTTATGTGGTGCTGAGGATCGAACCCAGGGCCTTGCACATGGTAGGCGAGCGCTCTTCCCCCCCCCCCAGGCACAACCCCAGCCCTATCCTATGGTTTTAAACTAAAAGTTAATTTTATAATGTTCTTTTCATTGTTTATATTTATTATGTTTGTTTATCTGTTTATTTATTTATAGTTGTAAATGGACAGAATACCTTAGTTTACTTTTATGTGGTGCTAAGGATTGAACCCAGTGCCTCACACATGCTAGGCAAGAAATCTGCCACTGAGCTATAGCCCCAGCCCTTCATTATGTTTTATATTATTAAAACAAAAATTTCATTTTTGATGATTTATAGACACAATCACTTCTTCATAATGATGACTTGAATAAAAGGCCAGTGGTTTATTTTTGTTTATTTCTTACACAATCACAAGAAACATTGTAAGCAATTTTAAGAAACAAAGAACTATATATGGAAACAATGACAGAGAATGCCAGCAAGTGAGAAAGAGAAAAGGGGAGGCTGCAGTGTTTCTGGGTGTGCTGTGCTTACTGACCAGGTCAAACTTCCCTACAGTCAAAATGACAGTCCAAACATCCTGAGGGGCATCTGGAATGATACAAATGATCAGATCCACATGTCCTGCCTCAATCCATGTGTTCAGTGCACAGGTCAGGAAGAAGGCAAAGTAAGGATGGAAAGGGTATTGAGGGGAAAATCAACAGGAAATAGTCATGAAGAGCATGGGTGCTAGTATACTCTGTCAAGGTTCAAATCCCAGCTCCACAACTTAAATCTGTGTTACCTGGGAAAGTTACCTCTCTATGCCTCAATTTCTCTGTTAGACAAGGAAATGATTGAGGAGATCAAAAGAAGAAAAATTAAATGGAAAATGCATGTAAAATACTGAATATAGAATTTGGCCCATCCTAAGCTGTCAAAGAATGTTGGTATATATGGGTGCAAATATGTTGCTGTGAATTTGTACCATATATTCTACCTTGAGAAAACAATAGTGCCCATGTACTCTCTTCCATTTAACATACTACAAATTGTAGGAGTTATCATCCTAAACTTGACTTTCTTTTTTTTTTTCTCCCCTTTGGAAAGGCTGTGCAAAACTACTATATTTACAAAAATGGCACAAATGTGAACTCAACAGTCAATGCACATGTATACTTCATTCACATCTTCAACAATGAAAGGTCTTCAACACTGCAGAACAAATAAGAATGCTAGCTTCAACTGCAGCTGTTAAGCACTGAAGTCATGTAAGTTATACCAGAATGGGCAAATATTGCCCAAGTAAAATTCTATTGTTAAAGCAGAAACAGGTTTAAATCCATTCAAATGCAAGCACAGTTAGACAAATCTTTCGGAGCCCTATCTATTTGTGTTTGAATCATATGATCTTTCTTGCAACTTGTGGTCTTAAACTTCTGTTCTACAAAATTCAAAAGGAAAATACAGAAAAAAAACAATACATCAGAGGTTATATTAAATAAGAGTATTATACAAAGCGATAATTAAGATGAAGCAAGGAAGGCCAAAACATTGAAATAGTAAAATTTGATTGTTACTTGTTGGAACCAGTCCTACACTAGAATTAGTTAATATATACAAATATTTTCAAGTAGATTACTTATGTTTCTCTAACTCATCCTTTTCATCAGTGCACTGTTAAACTAATAAAAACACATAGCTGGGTGTGGTGGCACATGTTTGTAATCCCAGGGCTGAGGCAGGAGATCAGTTCAGAGCCAGCCTCAGCAAAAACAAGGCGGTAAGCTACTCAATGAGACTCTGTTTCTAAATAAAATACAAAAATAGGGATAGGGATGCGGCTCAGTGGTTGTGTGCCCCAGAATTCAATCCCCAGACGCCCCCACCACACACACACACACAAAAAAAACCCTCTGCATATATATATTCCCTTACAATAGCAGCACATGCTATTACTACCTGCAAAGTTGTCAATCTCAAATGATTTAGTGAATAAAAGGAAACAAAAAGTGAATAAGTGGCATAATAAGGAGAAGTTAAGGGAATTAGAAATATTCGTAAAAGGCAGCTTTTTTAAATCAGTCAGCCAGCTTGCCAGCAACAAGGGATGGTTTCCATTCAGGAAGGTCCTGTGGCGTGGGAACGCAGTCACCAGTGACCTCTCTGTTATCCAGGGCTGTGTTAGGAAGTTGCTTGTTGTTCATCTTTGTTTTTGCATGTTGTAATCCCCAGAATCAAAATATATTTGCCCTTTCTGCAATCATTTCCTTAAACATCTGAACCTCAAGGCTTTTGTCCCGGTGAGGATACTTTTTTTAATTTTGCTTCTTCAGCTTTCTCTAAATTAGTCACTTTATCTTCCATTTCCTTCTGAAGGCCAGGGACTTCATGGACACAATGCTCCCTCTGCCTAGCCCTGCTCCTCCAGCTTCCCTAAACCTGAGTTTTTTAATTTAAATATTTATTTTTTAGTTTTAGGTGGACACACATCTTTATTTTATTTGTATATGGTGCTGAGGATCGAACCCAGTGCCTCATGCATGTTAGGTGAGCGCTCTACCACTGAGCCACAACCCCAGCCCAAATCTGACTTTTTAAACCCTACTATTTTTTATGTAGTACATTTCCTGTCTTCATATGTTTACTTGCCTCAAATTGACCTTCATATCCTATGTAAGCATTATCTGCACAAAAATGCAACAAGGTAGTTAAAATCATTTGAAATATATGTTGTATTAACAGAAAATGTCACTGTAAAATAAAACCGCGAATTTCAAAGAGAGAGATAATCTTGGTATCAAATTCCATTGATCTAAGGGCTTATCCAAGTTACTGAACTTCTCTGTACCTGTTTTCTCCTTGTTAAAATATAAAGAAGACCCGAATCTCACAAAACTGTGACGAGGATTAGGAACAGTGAGATGCTCAGCATATAGGACAATCACAGCAAATTTTTCATATGCAATTCACGCACACACTCTTTTATACACACACACCCTAATCACTGTCATCTCTGTCAAGTGAACTGAACTTCTCAGATGATCTTTGTCACCATTTTCATATTTTATATAATAGGCTTCAGTGATTTATTGTGGCAGTTTTCAAACCAGGGTACTCATACTCCTGGGGACTCCAAGACTTCCTAAGGGTACAAACCCATGGATATTTTAAAGGAACCATTTTTCAGATCTTCAACTTTCATATGTATTCTTTCCTAAAATTGCCCTGAGATCTGTTGGCCCTGGTTCTCCCTTCCTACCTCCCTTTCCACGATCAACCTTACAAAGAAAGGCTCTTTACAAAAGATATACTTTCACCCATTTTTAACTTTACTCTGGTACTTTGTCCTAAAGTGTAAAAATCTATGAAGTACCAAATAAAAGGATAATTCAGTCTTTCCTTTAATCAAGGTCCCATAAACACCCCAGTTCTCTCTTTAAGAAATAAATTTCTGACATACATCTGTAATCCCAGCATTCAGGATGCTAAGGCAGGAGGATCACCAGTTCCAGGCCAGCCTCAGCAATTTAGCAGGGCCCTAAGCTACTTAGCAAATTTGTCTTTGTCTCAAAATAAAAAATAAAGGGTTCAGAAGCCAGGAGAATGAGAAGTTATACTCCATATATGTAGTCAAAATACATTCTACTGTCAAGTATAACTAGTAAGAACAAATAAATTTTTTTTTCAAAAAACATATTATCAGAAGGAAAAAAAGGTTCAGAATGTAGCATGTAGCTCAATAGTAAAGTTCCCCTGGATTCTATCCCCAGAACCAAAAGAAAGAAAGAGAGAAAGAAGGAAAAATAGAAATTTCTAATACAACTTAACTTTTAATAACTAAAGGTTATCATGTTTTTAATATATTTATATTATTTTCACCAATTATGTTGTAATAGTAATTGCAATAATAACATACTCCAGAAAATAAAAATTAATATTTTGGAGACTTATTGTCAAAGGAAATTAGGAAAAATATTCCATTTGTACATAGTATGGGTATATATGCACACATACACAAAGCAGAAAGTGTAATAAGCAATAAGAAACCCTCAAGCATAACAATGGGATAAAATTCTGAGGGGGAAGTGATATTGAAATCAGGTTCAAAAAAAGAAAAGGAATAATGTATCATGTCCCAGTGTTAAATAACTTTATTTTAAATGAATGATGGTGGATAGTAAATCACCACAGTATTTATCGTCCATTGGGTAAATTTCAGAGTGATTTAACGTTTTAATTTACAAATATCAACATTTACAATAAGCCAGATATCACATCCTTCCCAACTATTAAACTCATGATGAAACAAAAATCAGATAATAAACTGAAGAGCTCCTATCAGCTTGGAGGGGTACTAATAACCTGATAAAGCGAGCCCTCAAATATCATTTAGGTGTCCTTTCTAAAACTCAAGTCAAGCCCAATTAGTTTCAGTGACAAATAAAGACACCATTAATTCAAAGTCATTCTCTTCCTTTCCTCCCCATTTCTCCCGCTCAGTCGCCCCCTTCTAAGTCCCCAGTCGTCCCTCGCTCCACCCTCGCTCCTTTGTGGGCTCCTTTAACCCACCCTGTGCCCGCCCCAGCCCTCCAGCGCATGCGCGCTTCACTTCCTTTCCACCCGCTGCTGCTGTGTCATGGCCGAGCGGAAGTTCCAGCCCCCGCGGGAAAGGGCGTCCTTAAGATCGAAAGGGCTTCTCGCAGCTTTCTCCCCCTCCTCCCATAACACCTTTCATTCTCTCATTGTAGGGGGGCCCCTACCCTGTACTCTCCCGAACACCTCGTAGTCCACGGATTTGAGTGGCTCGCTGGTAGACATGGCGGCGGCGAGCCCTCTGCCGAGGAGCCGGAGCGAGATTCGGGGCGCGGCGACTGCGGCGGCCGCGAGAGGGAGGAAGCACATGGGACCGCTGGGTGCCCTCCGCGCCTGTCCCCGGCCCGAGTCGCAAGCGCGCCGGGGTCACGCGTCAAACGCTGTAAATGAGACCGCCGGCCCGGGAGTGAGGGCAGACGGGGACGCGGGGCGTCCGTGGCCGCCTCTTGCCCCCCCGCCCAGAGGAGCCCGCGCTCCCAAGAATGAGCGCCCCTGTGTGCTCCCTGGGATTTAATTCGCCATGGCGCTTGATGCTCAATGTTCGTGAATTAAAGCCGGGTGCTGGGCTTAAAATGGGGTTGCTTCCCTCCCCCCAACTTTATTAACCAAAAAGTGTATATATAAGGTGAGGCTTTGATATGAGCATGCTTTGTGAGCAGATTAGATCAAGCTAATTAACAGTCATCACCTCTTTTTTTACGTAGAGAACTTTTAAGATCTGAATTTTCAAGTATACATTATTCTTAACCATAGTCACCATATTAGACAATAGATCTACAGAATTCACAGTAACATGCATTGCACCCTTTGACCGTTGTCTTTCCCTTTCCAACCTCCCTTCACTCTCTCCCACCAAGATTTGCTTTTGAAACTAAGGGCTTGCTGGGGCAATGGTTAAGGGTATTTAGTACATAAATTGATTACGAAATGTTCTGGTGACTGCCAAATCTATCTGGCAATTTCAAGCCAACTCATGAGGTCTGTAACCTTTTCACCTCTTCCACTGAGTTAGAAAGGCTTTGGACCTGTATCCCTTATCCTAAGTAGACTGATATTTTCTGAAACAAGAACCCTTTTTTTTTTAAGTTTGAACTTTTGAAAATGTCCTCTTGTTTGTTGTTCTATTATATAGGGTTTTTTTGGGGGGGGGGTTAAGGTCTTGATTATTGTTCAGCAATATCTCAATTACCTAGAAAGTTAAGGCAGTTTATATATTTCCTGGTGATCTAAGTTAGTGTGTGTGTCTCTCCCCCTCCCCCCCTCTCCCCTTTGGATATGGTATAAACCTTGTCCAGACTTGGCCTTGAACTTCTGGATTCCTGAGCTCAAGTAATCCTCCTGCCTTAGCCTCCTGAGTGCTGGAACTACAGGTATGGGCCACCACTCCCAGTCCATAAACTCTAATTTGTAACAACCCATTAACTCCAAAGAAACTAGATACAGTTTTTGATAATATGCCTTCTAGATTCCAAATCCTATTACATGTAAGAATTTGCATATTCAATTTATTTGTTGGCTTCAACACCCTTACGCATATATATATATATAAATAATTTTTTTTGCATCTGGCCTCATAGTTAAAAAATTCACTGCAACCTGATTCAATGTCATGTGCCAATTCTGTCAGAGAATGCCAAAAATTATCTAAAACTTGGTTAGAATGTGGTTAGATCATGTTTTAAAATTTATTCTGGAGTGCTTTATGATTGATTTTATATAATGAAGGTCTTCTTTGCAGGATACCTCACAATTATCTCTTCCTCTCATCTCCTTGTTCATTTCATACAGAGTATGGAGTCAATATAAGTATTAAGTAATTCTTCTCACCCTTCACTGCTGTCAGAATCAAAACTAAGGTCTTCCACCTCAACTAAGCCCTTATTAAGTGCTTACCAAAATCCTATAAGTGATGTAATCAAGACAGTTATTCTGCAATCTGAACAGAGAGGTTAAACAAAACAAAACAAAAAAAAATGACCTTTTCTCTTGGATCTACTTTATCTGGAATACACTTGCTACTCTAGACTCTTACCCTATCTTGTTCAGTTGCCTTTGCAAGTTCTTACCAGATTTCATCCTAATTATTCAGTGTTTCTTCCCCCCATTAATGCTAAGTGTTCCAAGTCACTGACTGGGGAAGTTGATGGTTTCCTTTTCTTAATTAGTCCTTGACTTTTTTTCCACATTTACCTAAGATTGCCCCTGCCAATTATTATGTGGCTTTATTTTTAACTTAAGAAGTGCTATAGCAACAATTGACATTTGCTTAGCTAAAAAATTTACTATGTCTGCCAACAGCAGAACATTAGCAAATGGAAATTTTATGTACCATTTCAGCATGGATTGCCAATAAAATAGTAAGACTTTAGAAATTTTAAGTAAATCTTTCTAATATTTAAACTGATTTTTAAACAACAGAAAAATTTTTTAAATAAAAGGGAAAAAATCATCCATAATCATCCTAGCACAACTGTTATCATTTTTGTATATTCTCTCTATATACGTGTGTTTGTGTGTTTTTTTAGTAGTTACAGCATGATTTCAATTTTTATTTTCTATATTGTAGTCTTTCCAATGAATAAGTGAGTTATGATCATAAGTTTACCTACTAGTCCTGTGATTACACATTCAGGCTACTTTTCATTTTTCACTACTATAAAAAATATTGTGAAGGAACTATTCTTGCATGTAGCTAATGCCGCAGTCTGGCTGGGCACAAAATAACTGAGCCGCCACAAGGCACTTGTAGGTTCAAACAGCAACTACTTTATTGCCTGAACTCTCACCCGCATTCCACACAGGCTTTCCCGGGAACTCTCTCACCCTCCACCTCTCAACGGGAAGTAGCAGGCAGTAGGAGGCAGCAGGAGCCACCCTATTCCCAGAGCCACCCTATTGCAGGGCCCATATACAACTCAATACACAGCCTGTTTCAATCCAGCCTCATCCAGTCACAGCAATTATAACTTAATTATCATCATCTTAATGGCTCGCTGGCATCATTTCTTAACCACTCCTTCTGGCAAAATGCCATGCGCCATCCCAATTCGGCTATGGCCCTCAACAGCTTCCTTTCCATATTTTTATATTAGAAGTTAGAATACTTTTAACTTAAAATATATCAGAATATAGGCATGTATTGTTCTTGACATGTATTGCCAAATCACTTTTCAAAGGGCTGTACCAATTTAGATATACTACTGTCAACACCATGTATGATTATTTGCCATTTATTTATTTATTTATATGGTGCTGGGAATGAACAATAGACAAAGTCTCAACCACTAAGCTACATCCCCAGGCTCTGCCTTTTTTTTTTTTTTTTTTTTTTTTTTGAGCTCAGAGGCATTTTATTAAAAAAAAAAAGTCTGGTAATTTTAATATGAGCTTAAAATTCATACATTTACTTCATTTTTTTGGCTTGACTTTCTTTCTAGTAATCTTTAGCTTCACTGTTTTGGGCTACTATAGAAGGAGATCCTCCTTTGGGCAATTTAAAAGCATAATTTGTCAAGCATCTCTTATTTTCCTTTATTGACTATATGGCTTAAACAGTATTAATGTTGCTTCCTGTTTTGTCATTTTGATTTCAAACCCCCCTCTATAACAGCTACCACTAACGGCAGATTTTGGTAGACTCTGAAATTTGTATTTTACTTGAGGCTCCATATGTTTCATGGCTTGTAAAATAACACTCTGCAAATCCTGCAGCAGCAATGGTCAGTCCAACTGCTACCACTGTACTGGCCATGTCTCAGTCTCAGCTTCCCTGCTTTCACCAGGAGCACCGTTCATCCTAGCCCAGAGGCCACAGTCACCACCATAAGCTTTAACCAGAAAGTGATATATCCGCAGGAGCAAGCACAAGTTCCCAAGTACAGGAACCCTCACTTAGTTGGCTTTCTATGCATATATAAACTGGCTCTTCAGATATAATACATGATTAGATTATAAATAACATTGTCAAATATATATATTATATATAACATTGTCAAATATATATTAGATTATATATAACATAGTCAAAACACTGAATTATTCTACAATCCAAAAAGAGAGATTTATTTTAAAAAGCCTTTGTTCTTGGATCCACTTTATATGGAATACTCCTGCTATTCCCAGATCTTTCTCTCTCCTGCTCAGTTACCTCTGCAAGTTCTTACCAAATTTCATCCTAGTTATCTATAGCAACAATTTTGGAATAACTCGGCTCTGTTATTACTATTGGTCAAAATTAAACCCTTACATCATGTAAGTCTCTTCCTTGAACATTTTAAGACAAATTGTTTATGTTGTAGGATAATATTTAAGGAATGCATATAAAAGGAAAATCCTACCTATACAATGTAGAACCTGTGAAGTAAGGAAGGACAGGCAACAATCTCTGGGTCCAAGTGACATTTAAATTGAGGAGGTGCAACCTGTAAATTTCTAATTTATCACCACAAAGGGTCAGTTGAGAGTGATTCCTGCAGTGATTTCTCAGAAAGTTGAAATTGGGATATAATTGATTTCAAAGACAACCAAAATTACTTCATCCATCAACATTTCTATTCCTGATATATTTTTGTGATCATGTGGAAAGAGCAGTTCTCAAAAGGATACAAATTGTTAACTTCCACAAGGGAAAAGACCTAAATAAGCTAATTCAATGATTCCCTTATAGAAGGAATACTTCATAAGCTAAAGATGTGGCTAAATAATTATTACTAAACTGGATTCAAAATCATTAGCCACCAAACTCTTAATGTGTTTAGCTGACTTAGTAGCTATTTCTCAGAAATAGCTTACATCTTATTACAATTTATCAGAAAATTGCTTAAGCATTTCATCAGGAAGGCATGTTTCCTTCCCAAGTATCTCAAGTTTGGACCAATTTTTCTTTATCACAATCCACTTTAATTTTTATAACTCAAGAGGACATGAAATATTAAAGCTTCTTCCCTCTCCCAGCCCAGTACTGCTTAGGCTAAGTGAGGGAGAAGGCATGGTTGATCCTTCCCTTGCCTCAGTTTTCCCCTAGGTAGCTGAGAATTAGAAGAAATGGGTATATCATATGGGCTGTCTGGGATTGGCAAATATTGAAGGTTGATTAATTCTTTTTGCAGAATCCTTTTTTGAAGGAAAGTATGTCTTTACCCCACTAGAAATTCCTGGTTGCTGTTCCCTTGATAGAGAATCCCTTTACTCTGTACTTGTTCCATCCCAGCTTTGTATTAAATGACACCTCCAGATTCTTTCTGCTGAGACTAACCCCCAACAAGAAGGCCATCTGGGCGGGATCCACTTTAAACTGACCATAAGAATAGATCTCTCCCTCCAAACACATCTAATTGCTGGAACTCCTATCTCTGCTGTACCATTAATAGAAGTCATAGAATGACTCTGAATTCCACGGCCTCTCTTTGCTCTGCTTGGTAGGTGCCAGCCTTTCTTCTTGACTTTACTTAGGTAAGGCTCAACTACCTGTCCCTTCTAGCTCCAAGGAGTAAATGCCAAGCTCTCAGAGGTTCACTTAAAGTCCCTTCTCGCTGAGCTGGGGGTGAAAAGAAAACACCCTACTTCTCTTTCATTTTCACTGTAAAAGGAAAATGCCACAGCTTATCAGTGACTTTTCCCAAAGCAATCATCTACAACCTAAGTTGAGTGTTAGTCTAAGAGATTAAAACCCATTGAAATGCCCCTTTTGCATAACACAGGGCATTTTTTCAGTGTCTGTTCTTGGCTAAAAGTGAGACAAAAAGCCCCTATTCAAATCAACAGACTTTAATAAATAAACCTTGTTTGGATCCTGATCTGAGTATATTAACAGAAAAGGACTTTTTTTAAATCCATGCTATTAAATATTAATAGAATCCTCATTAACTTTTTACATGTGACAATGGCATTGTGTGCATATTTTTAAGCCCTTATCTCTTAAAGGTGTACTGAAATACATGAAGGTGCTATGATATAATATTGGGACTTGCTTTTAAATCCTCAAGAATAGGAATTAGGACAGTTTATTAGAATAAACTTAGCAAATTGGTGATTATTGAGGCTGGGTCATGTATATAGGTTCATTTTAGTATTCTGTAATTTTGCATATATTTGAAATTTTTGTAAAATTTGAAAATAAATTTTAAAATTATAAAACATTCATTTTCATTCTACAAAATAGACCTGACTGGTAATCCTCAAAACTGTAAAAGTCATCAAAACAAATCCTGAGAAACGTCTAAAAGGTGCCTAGGAAGATGATGTTTGGGACTAGAAAAAGAACTTAAGGTAAAAACTGAGAAAATCTGAACATAAAATTTGGACTTTAGTTAATAATTAGACATCAAGTTTTGTGCATATCCAAATATAGCATATATTACATATCCAATATAATGAATCCCACTATACTTACCATGCACTAATAAAATTAATTAGTTTTAAAAGATATCAATATTGGTTCATTAATAATGAAAAATGTACTTTGTATTACTAATAGTGGCACAAATGTACCATTTATTATAATAATATGTGAATAGTTGGGAAGACTGAGGGGTACATGGAAGCTCTGTGCTATCTTCACAATTTTATAAATCTAAAATTTCTAAAATTAAAAGTTTGCTTTTAAAAAGTACTTTTTAATATCCAGTTACTTATTTTTATAATAGCATTCCAAAATAATTTCTCACTGTAGTTCATTATCAGAATCACTGTTTCAGAATTATGGACACATAATTTAAATTTTTAATCAACTGCTAAGTCATGCTCAGGCAATGACAGATCAAATAGTTGACTTTCAAAGCAGAAAAGCAAATCTTAACTGACATAAAGAAACACAAGCAGATAATCAAATTTGCTAATATTTCCATTAATGAAGAGAATGTATTACAGAAACATTTCCAAAAGAAGAAATTAATATAAAACACTTAAGCACATATCTGGAAGTGAGGAAACTGTGGAAAATATGATTATGATTAGCACTGGGTGGTTTAGAAAACATGAAATATGCATCTGTAGGTATTATGGGAAGGGTAAAGTTAAGACTAACT